TTATAGAAAAATAGAAGAAAAAAAACAATTGTTACTGTTGTTTTCAACATTTTTCAAACTGTCTTCTTTTATGTTCAACATAAAAAAGAAACTAACAGTACTTTTGAGAAGTATAGAAAAGGTAAATGATGACAGAATGGTTAGTGTTGGGTGAACTTTTCCTTTAAATGGCAAATGGTATATGGATATAATTTTTAAATATATATTTTTTGATACATTATAATGTATAAAATTGTATATAATTTAAATGCATATAATTAAATATTCTTTAAAAGTCAGACAAAATGCTATGGGCCGCAAAATCTGTTCTTATTTCACAAATTTCCTATTTTATTTTATTTTATTTTTATTGATCATTATATTTCTCTCAAACTTTTAATGGTTACATTTCTTTACTACAAATAAAAAAGCATTATTAATAAAAATAAAAAAATATGAAAAATGCATTTCAACAATATTTTTAAACAGTTTATATTTAAATAATTCATTTAATATTTATATTATTATTTATATATTATTAATATTATTATAATTAATAATACACCTTAAATCAAACTTTACATAATGTATGTAATTCTATATAATTAAAAAAAAAAATATATATATATAATATATATATATATATATATATATAAATGTAGAAATGTAACCATTAAAAATGTAAAAATAATATAATAGTTAACAAAATAAAGTAAAATAAATTGTACAATTTGGGAAAAATGAACAGAATATATAATATATAAACTTATTTTTTTTTTTTAAGTCAGACAAAATATTATGTGTCCCATATTCTGTTCATATTTCCCAAATTTTACACTTTATTTGATTTGATTTTATTAACTATTATATTATTTTCACATTTTTAATAGTTAAATTTTGTTTATGCAAGTTAAAAAGCATGATTAAATATCAAAAATGTACAAGAAATGCAATTTTATTTAATTTTTTTGGTTAAATTAAATTTTAATTTACTAACTTGATAAAAAAATGTAATAAATTTATACACACTCACGCACGCACGCACGCACGCGCGCACACACACCGTTTAGTTTTTTATTTCAATTATAAAAAACAATTATTGATCATTAAAACAAGTCACACTTATTAACAAACTTAAAAATTTAAAAAAAAAGTACCTTTGCTGCTTGTTAAAACTACTTACATGTAATGTATATAAAATAAGCTAAAACAATTCTTAAGATTTGTTCAGGACAACTTTATCATTTATGTGCAATTCACTTAAAATTGCAAAAGCAGTTAAGTTAACACACTGATTTGTGTTCAGACAGCATAAAAAAAATGCGTGGAACACATTTCTACAGTGTAACTGTATTAGTTTAAAATATATAATAGAATATAATATACACTTACCGGCCACTTTATTAAGTACACCTGTCCAACTGCTGGTTAAAGCAAATTTCTAATCAGCCAATCACATGGCAGCAACTCAATGCATTTAGGCATGTAGACATGGTGAAGACGATCAGCTGCAGTTCAAAGCGAGCATCAGAATGGGGAAGAAAAGTGATTTAAGTTACTTTGAACATGGTTGTTGGTGCCAGACGGACTGGTTTGAGTATTTCAGAAACTGCTGATCAACTGGGATCACACAAAACCATTTCTAGGGTTTACAGAGAATCGTCAGAAAAAAAGAAAATAAGATTTTTTTGGGCACATTGGGCCTATTAGTACCACTTGAGCAAGTATTGCTGCTGACCATGTCCATCCCTTCATGATCACAGTGTCTCCATCTTCTGATGGCTACTTCCAGCAGGATAACGCGCCATGTCATAAAGCGTGAATCATCTCAGACTGGTTTCTTGAACATGACAATGAGTTTACTGTACTCAAATGGCCTCCACAGTCACCAGATCTTAATCCAATAGAGCACTTTTGGGATGTGGTGGAACGGGAGATTGGCATTATGGATGTGCAGCCGACAAATCTGCAGCAACTGCTTGATGCTATCATGTCAATATGGAGCAAAATCTCTGAGGCATATTTCCAGTACCTTGTTGAATCTATGCCATGAAAGATTAAGGCAGTTCTGAAGGCAAAAGGGGGTCCAACCCGGTACTACAAAGGTGTACCTAATAAAGTGGCCAGTGAGTGTATAATACTTTTTTTTTCTCTTTTAAGTACTTTACAACAGAGGTTTACCTAAAAACACAAAATTATGGTGTCCAACTAAAAGACACGGTAGAAATCTAGTGTTCCTTTAAAAGGAAAAGTTTAATACTTGTTTTATTTCTTTAAGAAGATCTTTCTGTGCTCAGCATTTTGTGAATAACAGAAATCACAGCTCTCTATAATTGTCTCTCTGCATCAGGACATTTATAGCAGCACACAGTGACTGGCTGGAGAGTATTCTTCAGTCAGGTGGATATCCAAAATAACTTACTTTCCTGACTATAAATGGCAGATAAATCTGGTTTGGGGGCAGTTTGAGTTGAGCTTTTTTCACATCCATACTTATTTCTGCACTAATGGGGAAACTCTTGCTTCCTGCTGTAATGAAGCTCTCAGTCCTGCACCGTCGTGTCCCTCAGGACTGCATTTGCCACAGAGTTACAGGTTGAAAAAAAAAGCCTCGCTTCCCCCTAGAGCGTCCCTCCACCCACTGCCTCATGTCTCTGAGCACATGTCAAACTGACAAACACTAATGAAGTCAAACACCAGCCCAATCCCATCAACACACTGCTCATAGTATCATGGAAAAACTACAGACAGGAACTGTAGTAAAGTGAGATCAGGGATTGTCCATGCAAAAAATTGCTTTTCTTACTTTGAGTTTTGATCTTGTTTCTAGTCTAAAAATTTTAAAACCAAAAAACATTTTGTAGACAAGGATTGTTGTCGGAAATATGCCAAAATTAAGCGACATTAAAACAATAACAAAAACCTGCAAGAGGGGTAAGTAAACCAAACTGATTTAGCAAATGAAGCAAAAACAAGATTTATAAAAACAAGAATATATAATAACTAGATAGGTTAACTACAACTAAAACCAGGACTACAAAAAGGCCCAATCCCAATTCTATTTTTGTACCCCTACCCCTTCCTCATGTCTCTTAATACCGAGTGTAAAAGGGGCTTCAAAATTTTCTGTGACTTCGTTGCTAAATAGCTAACTCATGGATTTTATTGAGAGAATAGCTGGGTTTATGTGCTTTAGGATAGCTGAAAAACAGCGTAGATTCATTCCACTAGTGTCCACTAGATCAGTGGTCCTCAAACTTTTTTCATCAAGTACCACCTCAGAAAATAATTGTCTCTCCAAGTACCACCATAATGAGCAGTATTGAAATACAGTAGCGTAGTAAGCCCAGTAAAGCAGCTACAGTTATGCACAATTCAAAAACATGGCAGATTAATTCCTATTATTAAGAATATTTATTATTGTCAACCACTTTAAACACAAATAGTCTGAACGTTAACACTGTACTGTGCTTACGTAAAAAAATAAAATAAAATAAAATAAAAAATAAAAACGTCAACATTTAAATTAAAATGTGCTTAAGATAAAAAGAAAAGTGCTGTACTTAAATGTAAAGTATTAACACATAGTAGCCAATTCATCAACATCTGAAAATGTTGTCTGGACCTCAGAAATATAGGTTATATGAAATATATTGAATATTAATATCTGCCATATTCATAAATAAATAATTTTTGATAAATTTTGAAATATATGTAGCATGTACATATTACATATTTGATTCCTCTGCGTACCACTAGAAGGAAGCCTGCGTACCACTAGTGGTACACGTACCACAGTTTGAGAACCACTGCACTAGATCCTTTTAGATGTGCACCCAGCTTTGTGAGTTCATAAACTCCTCTAGAAACTATACCTTGACGACGGAAGCTTTCAGCGATGCTTCCGACTGATCTGAGTCCAGTTTGATGAGCTGTTCTCTGGGATCAACATGAGGATTTCCAGTCAGGACACCAACAACAGGTTCTACGTCCTAATCACTCCCCTATAACAGCAAGCTCCTGATTGGTTAAAGAGCCAAGCTTGTCCGCTGAAGTTCAGATTTCAGAATCTTTTTTTTCATCCGCGCCACCTCATTTGCACGAATAGCGCAGCAGGATGTCTATTCGTGTCTTTGCATTCACTTAACATGTAAATCACTCACACTTGACTCTTCATCCGTCTCTGGTGTGAACACACTATTAGGACTCATTCACACCGAACGCGTTGTTGCTTCTAACAATGCAAGAAGTCACACTAAGATATGGGTTAAAAAAACAAGGCACAGAGCAGTGATGAAATATTATGAACATGATGTAATAACACACTCATTAGAAATAGAAAAAACAATATGTCATGAAAAGAACATAAATGTAATGTAATAGGTATATTTATATAGTGTGTTTATTGTGTATGGCCAAGCGCTTCATAATCCTGGATTGGGGACGATTGGGGGGCTATGAGGGCAGATAGAGGGAATTTGGCCAGGACACCGGGGTTAGGTTAGACCCCTACTCTTTACAAGAAGTGCCATGGGATTTGTAATGATCACAGAGAGGCATGGCCTTGGTTTAACGTCTCATCCGAAAGACGACACTCACTGACAGTATAGTGTCCCCTTCACTATACTGGGGCATTAGGACTCACACAGACCACAGGTTGAGCAACACCTGCTGGCCTCACTAATACCACTTCCAACTATCAGCCTAGTTTAGTTGGCAATAAGATAACACAGGATATCTAGACAATGAGCGCCTCCTTAAGCACATGTTTACATTGAAAAACAAAAGAAAATAGCGCAGAAGAGACAAAAAACTTCTTTTGTGAGTTACAGTACCCTTCATAAAATAATTCTAATGTGCTAAAATACTGTCACTGAAGTAACGTGCCCTTGGCGAGAATCAATTACCCTCTTATGTACACCTAAATATTTTTAACCCAAACTTTCAAACAGGGTTGTATTTGTAGCGTACTAATAAATGCATTGCAGCAGGAGAACAGCAGAGTTCAGTAATTCTCTTACCAATCATGGGCGACTCAATGAAGCTCCAGGCGTTGGTTTGAGGCACATATGATTGAAGAACTCCAGCTGAGCGTCCAGCCTCGTTCACTCCTCCAAACACATAGATCTTCCCTCCGCAGACGGTCGCCGCCGCTGAGTGAACCGGTTTGGGCAAAGGAGCCACCATCTCCCACTGGTTAGTGATGGTGTCGTACCTGCAGAGAAAATCAACATTGATTTATCGTATTAGAAAGAACTGAATTCAACACCTCCCTTTTTAGACAGAAAGTAATGTCCCATCTCATTCTATTCCATTAAATTTTATCCTATGATATTTTATCCTATCCTATTTTTTTAAAAGTGCAATTACGCATATTTTTTATCAATGTATTTGTAGTATACTTTATAATAAATACATTAAATGCAAACCAACACATTTAGAATGCACTTTTAGTAAGTATGTTATTTGTGCTAATTGTGTCTAAAACATACTATTTACATTTCAAGCACATTTGTAATTTATATATATATATATATATATATATATATATACATATATATATATATATATATATATATATATATATATATATATATATATATATATATATATATATATATATATATATATATATATATATATATATATATATATATATATATATATATATATATATATATATATATATATATATATATATATATATATATATATATATATATATATATATATATATATATATATATATATATATATATATATATATATATATATATATATATATATATATATATATATATATATATATATATATATATATATATATATATATATATATATATATATATATATATATATATATATATATATATATATATATATATATATATATATATATATATATATATATATATATATATATATATATATATATATATATATATATATATATATATATATATATATATATATATATATATATATATATATATATATATATATATATATATATATATATATATATATATATACATATATATATATATATATATATATATATATATATATATATATATATATATATATATATATATATATACATATATACATACATACATATATATATACATACATATATATATACATATATATATATATATATATATATATATATATATATATATATATATATATATATATATATATATATATATATATATATATATATATATATATATATATATATATATATATATATATATATATATATATATATATATATATATATATATATATATATATATATATATATATATATATATATATATATATATATATATATATATATATATATATATATATATATATATATATATATATATATATATATATATATATTAGGGGTGTCAAAATTAATAGTTTCTTCGGTGCACCGCGATGCAGACGGGGACAATTCGGTATCGGTTCAGTAATAATCATAACCGGTTATTATGTACTGACGTCATTTATCTCCTATGCGCTCTGTTGCGAGGGAGGTGAGCGCGAGTTTTTACAACTCAGGGCCGGCCCGTGGCAAAGGCACCATAGGCTAATTCTAAGGGCGCTGTATATCCAGGGGGACGCCAGAAATGAGCGCGATTCAGTTGGTTTTGTTTTCGATATTCCTGACACACATTCAGTTACATTATAGACGGCAAAAACCTCTTAGCCTAAAAAGATCTAAAGTGTGTTTCCTACAAAAAAGACAAAGCTGGTTATGTTTCACAGCTGTCTTTCTTTTTTTTTCGCTCGACATTACGAGCACTGCTCTGTTTAAGCCCTCGCAATATGTGTTTAGCCGGGAGAGCTCGCGCTGAGAGGAGCTCTCAGTAGGGGACAGTCGGAAAATTGCTTCTTTTTTTCGTTTTTTACGTTTTTCTGCTCCGCTCAGCGCGAGCTCTCCCTCATGCGAGGGCTTAAGTGTGTGTGTGTGTGTTTGTTTGTTTAGTGCTGTCTATGTTTGTGTATGTGTTTGAATGAAGACAGTGTGGTGCTGTGTGTATGTGTGTTTATACAGACAGCTTGTTATAGCCTCCCCCCCTAAAATATAACGTTGTATACGGAAAGCATCGTGATGCACCGAGATATCGAATTGAACCGAATCGAAGGCATGATAATCGTAACCGAACCGAACCGTGAGACCAGTA